GAATGCACATCGGGATATACCCCCCCCCCAAAAAAAAAATACAACGAAGTAAAATCCCGAAATCCCGAAGTGCGTTTTCGGTACCGAAATCCCGAACGCACGTCGGGATATAATCACCTCCCCCAAAAAACGACTAAGTATATCCGGAAGTGTAATTCTCACTCGTGACCAATGGACATAACTCAATTTTGAGATATTCGTGATTGCCCATAACTTGTAATTCTCTAAAAAATGACACTTCGTTGTTCTCAAGACACGAACTCATAAATGAACATTTCCTCTTCAATAGCCCAAACCAAGACTTCGCCAAACGTTTTTAGCGATTTCGAACCCTTCGTAAATAAGCTTCGCTATCCAATTCAGCGTATTTTTCGGGGTCCATTGGTCACGAGGGGATCAGAGCCAGCAGTCGCCCACCCTGAGGCATCTCTCGCCCTTTTCAAACATTTCAAGCAAACATGGTTCCCTCTCGTCAGTCTTTATTAGCACAAACAATGCTTTTCATACCAGTCAATTTTTACCCACCCTTACTTAGTAAAGGGTGCCTCTCATAAAAGATCTCACKTTCACCCCTCCCCCTCTTTGTTCGGGATGATTTTTTTTTTTTTATTTTTTTTTTTGCGCGCGGCCTCTTCCAAAATCATGAAGGGGCCCCAACAATAAAACAATCCCCACCCTCGAGAACCATGAAGGGGGTCTTAATCACCAAACAACTCAAACTGAGGGACCATCTTCTGGATACTCATATAACTCAAACAATAATGTTTGGCATGGCTAAGCGTGCGAATTTTTTGAATTCATCAATCCCATACGATTCTCACAATTTTTCACAAACATGCTGCACTCCCCCTCCTTATACTCTGCCCTCTCGTCTGTTTGCAAGCAGACCGCACGTGTATACCAGAGGGTAGACAACTTTACAGTTTACACAATCATGCTCATGAGGTGTATCTTGTACACCTCTCACACCAAGCCAATCATACATTAGGATAAAGCCACACATGTGAGAGTGATAGTGGTCGTCACAGGACAAGTCCCATGGAATCTCAATTCATGATACACTCAGGGAGTAGAATGCCTCCCTCAAGACTCAAATACAAACACTCAACTCAAACTTTGTCCATCTGTGCATGGCTCCCGACCCCATCGTACACTCGCGGAACCCGCCTGGGACACAACATCTACAAAAAATCTAACGGGTGTCTAACCCCTATCTCACTCTATTGGGGAACTCACACCTGCGTCTCTCTCAAACCCAAATAGTCTCGGCATCACAACCCAAAAGTAGCCAACTAGCCTCAAGTGTCCCACGACCGTACCCCATTTCCTAGGCTGTGGCTTATAAAAGAACCCAAGAAAAACACAGTCAACTAAGTATGTACAATCCGGCAGGGACTCATCCTACCACCCCTAAAGTATGCACACACTTAGGGGCCCCTCAGTCAACTCAGCATATGTACACCTCCATCCCGCTCCCTTGTGTGCGCAATATATTCTGGTCCTGCTGACACATAGACAGACCCGCCCCTACTCACACAATTCCTCCTGGTTCTGTCTATATAACTGAGCCCTGCCCCCATCTGGAGCTCGCTCCACGATCCTGCCCAGCGTGTCATAGAACTTGTCGTCGACCTCTGTAACCCGCCCCTCAGCCTTATCCTCAAGGAGCTCTGGGCAGTCCACGGCTCTATGTCCTTCCTTCTTGCACCAAAAGCAGGATGTGTCATGCCACCTGGCAGTCTTCTTCTTTCTCCCTCGGGAACTCAATGCTGAAGGTGTCCCGATGGTCTCAGTGGTCACCTCATGACACGAGGGCAATCCCATATGGCCCTGAGGTCCGAGCTCCATAGCCTCAGCACCCTCACCCTCTCGTATGGCTGTGCTCACTGGCTCGTGGTCTGGCATGCCCAACTCTCGGGCCCCCTCCTCGTGAGGCCTCTCCGTCACAACCACATCCCCACATGACCCTGACGGTTGAGAGTCCGCCACAGTGGCTGACCTCCTGCTGCTGCTGCTGCCCTAAGTCAAGTCCTCCTGAGTCTGTCCCTGTGGCCCAGGAGCCCAACTCCGCCCTCAACTCTCCCAGCCCTGGGGCGTAGTCTGGGGCGTCAGGCCTCTTACGCCTCTCCTGCGGAGTACCTATCCCCATGGCTGTTGCCAGCTCATGCAAACGTGAGCCTCTTCTCTCCGTAAACATCGCCATAAGTGACTCCTGGGCGCCACCCTCCTCCTCAGCCGTGTCCAGGGGCACCTCCCCCATTGGCCCGGCCTGTCAAGGGGCCTCTACCGCTGCTCCCCAATTCGGCGAAGCCTGCACCCCTCGGCCCTGGCCATTGGCACCGGCTCGTCCCGTCTGGCTAGCCTCCCAGGCTGCCGAGAGCTTGTCCACGATGGCTGCCATCTCCCCAAATCTCCTCTCCCACTCAACTTCTCTGGCCTGGCTCCTCGCCCTCTCCTCGGCAAGCTGAGTAGTCAGGTGCTCCACCTCCAACTCTCTGACCATGAGCTCACCGCTGAGTAAACTATACCACTGGAAGGATGTAACTGCCATCTCGCATATCTTCCTGTCCACACGCTCAATCGTCATCCTAGTCGCAGAGAACCCCAAGTCTCCCATCTCTCTCAGCTCACCCGCCTCCACGTCCACCTGCTCCATCTCTCGTGACCTCTGGCGGGCTGTGTCCCTCGAGCCCTCGTACCTTGCCCACAACTCGTCGATTCGCTGCTCACTCGTTTTCGGGTCGACCGGCGGCGTCGGCTCTATCCCTGCCGCCTCCATCTCAGCCTGCCTTGCGTGTATTTCATCCAAACGGGCTCGCACTCTGGCGGACTTCTCTTCGCGGGTTTCTCTTCGGGCTCTTCTCACTCGCAGTCCCTGACCTTCCGGAGTTGGCGCCTCGACACCCATCCTCTCGCTTGTGCATGGCAATACTAGCGGTAGCCCTACCAGTACAGGCTCCTCGATAGCTGGGCGCTCGGTCGCGGGCATGACTGAGGGTGACTCGTGAATTGTCTCCATCCTCGCTCCCTCACCCGCCCCCTGTCCTCCATCTCTGCCTCCTGCTCAAGCATCGCAGTGGTCTCTGTGGGAAACTCTGAAATCTCCTCGCTGCCAGGCTCAGGAATCCCCTCTGGCCATGAATGTTGTGCTGGCTCTGGAACTGGGGAGCATGGAGGGGTATCGTCTCCGACCGTGATCACCTCCCCATCCTGAGGCCGTTGTCAGGCGGCCGCAAGTAGTCCGCCGCCTGAAAACGGCAGTTTTGGGACTTAGGCTCAGGGATAAGTCTGTGTTTTGACGGTACACTAGACTGACCAGGAGGCCGAGATTAAAGGAACTCACGGCACCCCTAGTTTTGGGTGTGTCGACCATTGAGACTAGGCCTCGAAATTGTAGAGAAGAACTACCGCTTTGCTGCCCTGACGGCTACCTTATTGTCTATCTCATTTTCGCCCGCTCCAAGCCTTTTCCCGAAACGACTGGCTACGGGACGKTAATTTGAGAATAGGTTTTGACAAGGCCTTTTTACGCTGTCCAACTGACGCGAGAATGGAGCCTCACATTTCATTAA